TCCAAGGCTTGTCTGGAGAGAGGCGGCAGCTAGCTGAGCACATTGTAGGAACACACACACACACACACAGCTGGCTACGTGTAAAGCAATGTTGTGGGTTGGCTCAAAAATACAGGAGTATCTGAATGCCTGCAGAAAATTTTCCCCAAGTATTGTCTCGCAACGGAAGTAATTAGCAGGATCAAGCTACACCAAGACAATTTTCGTACCAGGTGTTGTGTGCATCATGGATATCAACTTGTTTTGCTTGCGTTCAGAGGCAAATGTTCTTTGTTAATGGGACCGGTAACCCAAGCTCTGCAATCTGTGCAGTTAGGTCTAATGGAAATGAAAGCACATATATGAGAGTTGTTGGGAATAGTAGAACGAAACAGAGAAGCTAGTGAGGAGACCCTTAGCACAGTAAGAGAGAAGTGAAACTGTCTTACCTAACAAGCTGTGCAACAGAAGAACTCTGCCAATCATCCCAGCTACTCCTCAGAAGACTTCTACCAGTGGTCCATCTATATTCTCTACCTGGATTTGCTTATTACTTCACTGAGGACTTGTTTCAGCGATGAGAAGTAACCTGCTTACAGTGTGCTGAAACTAAGTTTTGGGGTGAATCTGTTACTTGGTATGAGTTTTGGGCAAGCAGACCTACCAAAGAAATATACCCAACATCATGTGAACAACATGAGCCTTACTGAATTATTAGGTCACACCTTAGAGCACTTTCCTTCCTGGTTGCAACATGCACAACTGAACAATCTTTACTTATTAATTAAATTCACAGGGCACTTTTTTTTTTAAATAATATTTATTAAAATTTTCAAAGGATACAAAAATTACACAAAAACAAAGAGTAAAAGTACAAAAAATAAAAATACAAAAAAATAGAAAATACAGAAAAAAGGATAAAGAAAAAAACAAAACAAGTTCATTATTTTCAGACCCTTAACTGTCAATACCTTCTTTCTTAGACCTCCTCCTCCTCCCTTCCTTTGTATTCTAGTTATTAATTATCCCAGCAAATCCTTTCCCCATGTTTCATAAAATTCTATCATTACATTACCCTCGACTAATTTAATCCTATCTTTCTATAATAAAGTAAACCTTAAAATTTAAAACTTAAGTCTTAACCTTACCAGCTTCTTGTGATCATAATATTCTTTCATAATTCTTTATGCATCTTTACTAAAGCCAGGTAATTTCTTCCAACATTTTTCTATCATTCATCAACTTTGTAAAACATTCTAATAATAAAAAAAGAGAGAGATATAAACAAGTCCAATCTTTATCCAACGTCCCTTTCTCCTGGTTCCGGGATTTGTCAGTCCTTATTAACCCGGTAACCTTATGTCCGAGGCCCTCAAGTCACTTCCATGGCCCTTCCGCAGCTCTTCTTCATACTTATAACTGTAATTTCCCTTATCTCCTCGTGATAACTCCAACTTGACAATGTCTCTTGCTCGTGGTAACTCCAGCTTAGTAATGTTTTTAACCCTTCTTGTCAGATCAGACCCTTTTCCATATTCATCGCTGCATTCCATATAGTATTTAAGAGCATGTTTCAAGGGCCCTCCAAAGTTGAGAGCCCCCACAGTCCCAAACATATCGCAGCCCATTACCATATTTAAAAAGTCCAGACATCCCAGCATAGGGGGGTCAATCCAGCCCCCCATTTCCAAGCCACACCGAACTTTCCCTTTCCAGATCTGGCTTTTTCCAAGTTCATTTGTCCATTCTGAAGGATCATACTCCTTTTGGGTCTGTTCTGTCAAAACACACTCCTGGTTTAAATCCTGAGTAGGCTCCACATATTTTCCCACAGTCTGATCAAGACATTCCACTGCCTGTTTAAGATTTCTAGTCGAAATGGCCATCCGGTTCACCTTATCATGTAATTCTTCCAGTAGAGCATTTGTTTTGTAAAGAACGCGCACCAAGGTTTCTGAAAACATTGTTCTGCACAATCAAACACTTTCCCACGATTATTTTGTAACAGATGTCAATTCCCTGGAGTTAGTTACAGTTTCAAAAGCTCCCCCTAGGGGGAAGACTTATATTTATTTTTGCTACAAAGTTTCCCTTTTTTTTCTCCAAAATACATAGGATACTTTGTCCATATATATTCCTTTAGAGTGTGAAAGGGAACAGTAGAGTCACAAAATTTCTCTTCTTTTAGCTGTCTGTCAAAGAACAATTATCTTGGTAAACTCACGTCAGTCCTGACACCCCCGCTCCAGGATCAGGACGGAGGAAAATAACTTCCTTTTGCAGTTACTTCAAATAGTCCAGAAAAAAATATTCCCAATTTAAAATGTTGAAATCATTCTTTTAAAAACGATTTTCTAAGCTCTAGTGTGAATTGCCTTTGCTTTGTTCTGTTTACAAAAGAACAGAAGGGTGACTTCCTGTTTAGCCCTTCCCGCTCCGTACCAAATTCAATAGATTTTTTTTTTTTATAGTCCAATTCTGTCCTTTTCACAAATCTTTATTTAATATCCCATTTGTTCAAAGTCTAAGTACTCACGGGTGCTTGTTTTAAAGTCCAAATCGTCCCAGGAAAGAAGGCAGCGCTCTCCGGCAGCAGCTATGCGGCTTTGCTCCACGGAAACAGCGATTGACTCACAGCACCACGCCGCTTCCCCCTCCTCACTTCGGAGCCCGTTAGTGGGTTCCTTAGCGGATTGGGGAGGGCGCTAAAGGTGCCCGCCGAGTCCCACGGTCACAGGCTTCATCCGCCTGTGATTTTGAAGGGGTCCCCGCTTCGCCGTAGCGGAGTAGACCCTGTTTACCGCGGAGCCAGTCCCTCCAGTTCAGAGGGAGTCCGCCATTGCCGGTGGCGCCACCCCGGAAGTCCACAGGGCACTTTTTTTTTTTTTTTTTTACCAAGATGACTCAAAGTGCCTGAAAATCTATAAACAAACAAACATACATTAAAACCAGCATAAAAAAAAAAACAATCCAGAAGACAATCTTATTTTTAAAAGGTAGGATTAAAACAACACACCCACTTAAGGAGGCCACAGATAATGAAAAGCCAAAGGCCTGGAGAAAAAGTAAGCTTTTGCCTGGTGTCGAAAGATATGTAATGATGGCACCAGGCGAGGCTCCCTTGGGACAAGCAGGGAGCCACCACTGAAAAGGCCCCTTCTCATGTTGCCAACCTCTGGCTCTCCCAAAGAAGGGCCTCAGATGACCATTGCAGGGTCCAGGCTGGTTCATATGGAGAGAGGCAGTTCTTGAGGTTTGGGAGTCCTGAGCCAAAGAAGGCTTTATAGGTTAAAACGAGCTCTTTGAATTGCATCTGGAAACTAATTGGTAGCCAATGCAGTTGGGCCAGGATTGATGTTTTGTGCTTTGTCCATTTTGCCCCAGTGATGGAGTGGCAGCCCAGCCACTGAATTCTGCACCAGCTGCAGTTTCCAAATGGCCTTCAAAGACTAACAAATCTAACAAAGAGATTACCAGAGCATAGACAACAGAAGTTAGGCTATCCCTGTCCAGATGGGATGCAGCTGGGGTGCCAGCCAAAGCTGATGGATGGAACTCCATGCAAACAAGGCCACCTGAACTTCATGTGATAGTTATGGATCCAGAAGTACCCCCAAGCTACGTACCTGCTTCCTCAGAAGGAGTTTAATCCCAGCACCACAACCCCAGAGTCGGTCACAACTGGACCTAATGGTCAGGGGTCCCTTTACCTTTACCTTTACCTCCCATCCATCTAATCTAGGGGAAAGTTTCACTAGCAGAGCCTCAGTCTTTCCTGGATTGAGCTCTCATCCAGTCCATTACCAAGGCAAAGCTTTGGTCCAGAACATCCACTGCCTCGCCTGCAAATGTAAAGGAGAAGTAGAGCTGTGTGTCATCAGCATATTGCTGATAACGTACTTTTGCACAAGATGAAGACAAGGCTACATTTGACAATGAGTGAAGATCAATTATCTGCCTTGTGTTTGTTCAGTGTACATTGAAAAATTTGAAGACTTATTCCAAGGAGAAAATTATAAAGAAGTCATTGACCATTTTGGCCAAGATCCTTGAAAGCTCCAGTTTTTGTTTAGAGTGATACATTTTGTATTATATTTTCCTTTATATAGCACAAGAATTAACAAACAACCAAAAGTCTGATTGGTTTCATACCTTATGTCTGGCATTCACCACAGCCAAGGTAGATTTTGCATAAAAGGTGTGAAATTCAGCCTTAGGGTTTTAAAAGTTTGGTTTAAAGTCCTACAGTATTGTTGTTCAATTGACAAATTAAAGCTGTATGTCTTTCTAGTGCTTTGCTTGGTTATTATTAAATCAACAACAACAAATTGTTAGAAGATGGTTCCCTCAACCCACCAGTAGGCAGTTAGAAAAGGGAAAGGCCAGAGTTGTTGGTCTCTCTCTCTCTCTCTGTGTGTGTGTGTGTGTGTGTTTGTGTGTTTGCGTTTGCCTGAAGCTGGAGGAGGAAGCAGGCTGGAGCCCTTGAGGTAGAAGCATGCTTGATTTCTGTTTGAATCCAGGGCTGTGGCTGTGGGGAGAAGCAAGACCCTCTTGGCGTGTCCATGCTGTGAGCCCCTCCATCATAGGTTCAGGTTGTATACACTTGTAAATCAGCCATAGATCATAAAGGCACCATGCTGTCCTCTGTGCCTCATTCTCAAAAGAAGCATGAACCCTGGGTGAGCACCTGGAACCCTGGAAGCTTACACCGCTCAGAGATTGCAGTGGCGTGCAATAGTATTTCCCCCCAAATACTGCAAACCACCCCACCATCGTTTCTTGTTGCTTCCCTTGGGGGGGGGTAGTTGTAAGCTGCCCCTAGAATTATTTCTGTGGACACCCACACTACCTGTGGTTTGAACCTGAGACCTTCTGCAAGACGCAAATGTGTGTTCTTCTCGTGAGCTCTATTCCTGTCCCCAGAATGGATGACGTAACAACTTTTGTATAGTAGGGAGCTGTCTTATGCTGAGTCGATGAGTTCTCTGGAGCTTTTGACAAGGGACTTTTCGAGCCCCAAGTGGAAATGCCAAGGATTGAAGCTGAACTCTTCTGCATGCAAAGCAAACACTCTGCCGCTGAGCTACCTGCCCTTCTTTTGAGGCGCTGCTCCTTGCTGCAGGTGGTTGCCCTCTAACATGTGGGAGCAGGCACAGCAGAGAGTGGACTAAGGGCGCTCATCCCCATTCTTCCTCATGCAATTGGTACCATGTGAGGGAAACTAGCACCATTGGAAATCGGAAATACAAGACCCACCCATTTGTGCCCCTAATTTTTTTTAAGTTCGTCAGGGACTCTGTTATCTGCTGAACTCCCTGAGTAAAATTGCATCCTAGACATTGCCTTCAGGGAGGCGAAAAGAAGAGCGAAAGAAAAAGGAAAGAGAATGGGAGGGGCAGTTTTATTTTTAAACCAAGATTGCTATTTTTAAAAAGATATATTTTGCTTGTCATTTGGATTATGGCCAGTGGTTTATCAAATGCACGTACATTTTTCATTATGGTAAGCGTCTGTAAATAAATCTGTAGTAACTGATAACTCGTGAAATTTAATTTGACTAATGCTGTTAACAGGATTTTAACTGCTTGCTTTATTTATATGCGTGGAAATGGCATTTGCCAGGTATATGTGAGAAAAGCTAGTGACGATATTATTATGGTACAATACAGTATAGTGTGTGTCTCTGTGAGTCTACAAACTGGATGACTCATCCACTATAGTCTTATCCTTGCAAATAAACATCACAGGGAGCAAGACTGCTTTCCTGGCCCCACCCTACCAAATTGTCCCCATTGTTGGCCCTGTCCCACACACTGGAGGGCAAGTCTAAATTAAAGAGCATATTCTATGCAAATAGGCTCTCCTATGGAGCCCTGCCAAAGCAAGAGTCCAGAGCAAACGCCCCTCTAGAGACATGTCCCCCAACATGTGGAGAATGGGACAGGGGCAGTGGGGATGTGGCAGTGAGGTGAGACCAATCAGTGTGGTTGTGCTCTTCCTCCCCACATTTCTCTGCAAGCCCCTCTCAGCTACTGGCTGAGGTTCTGTGACGTTGTGGAATGTTCACAAACATGTTAACTGCTTCAGGTCAGTTACAGGGTGTTGATAAAGCAGGAATGCCTTTTGAGAGGTGTAGGGAAGATCAGTATGGGAGAAACGCTTCATACAGACTAGGGAGCAGACTATATGGGAAGAGGGAAAGCTGAGCAGAGCCTTAGGTCTTTGGATGAATGCAGGAAGCTGATTCAGGAAACCAAAGGGGCAGTCACAGAGAAGGAAGCAGCGGAGAGAGGAGAATTATTTGCACAGAACTGTGCATTGTACGGAGGCTCTGGGGCTAATGAGCTAAGATGGCTGGGGGCAGAGGGGCTCCCACTAAGCCTAAGGGGAGAAGAGAAAGGTGAGGAGGGCTGAATTTCATATATTGATTCGAAGCAAGCAGGCAAATCTCTCATTTCAAACAAGCGAGGTGAACCACCGTGTAATAGGGTCACAGCCTGCCTGCTGTTTTACCAGTCTGCTCATTTTTACTTTTTAAAAGTCTTACACTGGTTGCCAGTGCAGGTGATGGAAGAGCTGGAGAACCGAAATCTAACCAAGCAGCACCTCTGTACTACGGCGTCTGACATAATTTGTACCTTCTGAAACAACAATCCTTCAGACAATCCTTCAAAATCACACTTCCTGAAATTTTGCAATGCAGTTCTCCAGCCAGCTGCTTCTAAAAATGCATATACTAGGGGAAAGTGTGCCTTAAAAAAGGCATATATTGATGAAAATAAGATTTAGGAATGCATTACATTAGGAGAAATTGCTTTGCAGAAATCTATCTGTCAGGGGAAATTGCCTACAAAAATGTGTACATTAGGGTAAATTTGGAGAGCCAGTGTAGGGTAGTTGTTAGCAGGCTGGACTAGCAGTAGGTAGGCCTGCCAAAGTTTGAATCTATACTTGCCCATGAAACACACTGGGTGGCCTAAGGGCGGTTGCTCTTCCTCTCAGCCTAACCTACCTTACAGGGCTGTTGTTTGGACAGCTGCCAGAAAACGGAGCTGCGTCCCTTTTATCTCCTACGCTGGTGTCAGCAGCTTACCTTTACAACTGACTTCAGCAATCTGCAGTAAACGCTCTGAAAGGTACCAACACGATCTAGCTAGCTATGCAGATGTGCAGCAGGTGGTATGTGCCATGTGTTGTAGTCAATTCCCGTCACCCAAGAAAGGAAGGTGCATTAATGTGTGCATGTACTGGGTAAGAATGATTTAAAAAAAAAAAAATCTTAAAAACCAACCTTGTTCCTTCCCCCACACCCCTTCTTCTATATGAAGCTTGCTGGAAATGTTTGCTTTCTCCTCTGCTTTATGAACTCTGTGCTTGTACCAGGAGACGCACAGCTAAGTGGGGGAAGCTGTTTGTTTAACCACCTGACAAGGCTCCAGTGTCTTTTGCTAATGGCACTACAAGGAAGATGCTTTTTGCTGTATTGATCCAACTGGCCACGGAGCCTTGGGAGTCATCCATTTGGGGCTCCTCCTCTCCGCCTCTCCATCCTTTGCAGGCACATCTCAATCACACAGTGGGCCTTGCCACATGTATCACAAGCGCTGTCAAGGACACCCGCCTGTACTCACCCCCTGATATAATTTATGCTTCCTCTTTGCCATTCCTCAGCAGAAACCTTGCTTTGCATTTGCGGCGGCTTTCCAAGTTGAACATTAGCACACTTGCCACTTTAAATTTCTTCACCTCGTTCATTTATTTAGGCTCTTCCCCTGTTGTAACACCTGCTGGTACAGACATGTCCAACTGATGTAATACTTTGCTTCAGCTGTGCTGTAGTAAGCGAAGCACCTGTGTGACTCGATTCAAGTATCAAGTGAGCTAACCAACTATCCCATTTGCCTTAGGACCATCCTCAGTTTGGCACAAGTGATATTCCCAGTGCTTGCCAGGAGGGGAGGTGGTAAGCCTTTTTAAAGGGCTTAGATAAGAAGCAGAAATCATTTGTGAAATCCACACCTCCCACTCCCCCACTCCCAATGCCCTTTTAGTTACAAGTTTGGTGATATGGAACCCATGGCAAAAATAAGATACTATAAAGTATCTTAATAAGGTAACCAATCACAAGGATAGGACAAATGTGGGCTTCCATTTCCCCCCCATCCTTGACCATTGGCTGTGCTGGCTGGGGCTGATGGAAGCTGGAGTGAAACAATATCTGGAGGGTCACCAGTTCCCCACCCTGACTTAGCAGCAGTGGGGAGGGGGGCTATGACACTGAGCGGCCCATCAAACTTCATTGGCTTCTCAAAGTGGCCCTCCTGGAAAATTAGTTGCTGAACAGTCCCTGAGAGGAGTTGGAAGACAAGAAGGATATTCCAAAGCAGGAACAGATAGCAATATTTATTTATTTTATAGTGAATTTGAGGATCAGAGGTATTAGTAATGGAGCATAGTCCTCAGCAGTCGTGTCAAAGGGCCAACAGGACTTCATAAAGCAGTGAACAAGGTGGAGAGAGAGCACCTTCTCACATGCCAATCTGCCTGTACCTTGAGATCATCAGAGGAAGAGTGACTGCTTGCCCCTGTGCGAGAGGAAGTACAAAGCACCAGAATCCACGGAAGGGCCTTTTCAGTGGTGGCTCCATGTCTGTGGAAGATTCTTCCTATGGAGGTGAGTCTAGCGATGTCAATGTTTTCTTTTAAAAAACAAGCAAAAACGTACCTCTTCCAGTAGCCCTTTGGATGAAATGATGATTGAAATAATGATGAATTATTTGAAGATGATGCCTGTTATGAATCATCCAACTGCTCTGATTTCTTTGTTATACTATGTTATGTACTTACATACGTTGTGTTGTTTATTATGCTGCAATATTATAAAAGGTTCTGTGGTCTTTTGAAAAAAGGGGGTATGATGTAAATTTCTTAAATAAATACATAAATATGAACCATTACTCCCACCACCACCACCACATGTAGCCTTTGTTAGAATTCCTGCTCCGTGATTGCAGTCATGGGATTTTTGTCTATCACATTACTGTTGATTTAAAGCAGAGTCTCGTGCCCAGCGGAAGGATGAGGAATACGTGCTGCATACTCTATATTGCTTTATTTACAGTTCAAAGCTGGTATATTACAGAAAGACATCTTGCCTCTGCCGGAGCAGAAAAATGCATCCTCTCTCCTCGACAGCTCGGAGAGAAACACACAGTGAAAAACAGGAAACCAGTGTACGTCACATCCAGTCTCCCTTTCCCGTGAGAAACTCCAACAGTACAGACTGTGGAATGTAAACACCTGTCTCGTGACAAGCAGAGCTGCACAGTGAAGGAAAGCAGAAACCAACATCCTCCCCTTTCTGTGAACATCACTGGGCAGCGTGTTCGTACAATATCAGTACAAACCCAACTTCTGCACATAGGTACAGTGTTGATCCCTTGATACAATCTTGGACAATACATCAGCAGGAATTTCATTACCTGGCATATAGGACACCGTTACGAGTCCCTTTTGAATACATTCCCTAGCATGCTGCAACTTTAATTGTAAGTGCTTTGTGCTTTGCTTACAACCTTCAGACTTCAGCAAAGCCAAACATGCTTTGTTGTCCTGGTAAACCTGGATTGGACATTTGACAGGAATTTTCATATCTTTGCACAATTGTACTAACCATTCACAATCCTTAAGTGAATAAGACAGTGCATTCAGTTCGGCTTCACAAGTACTTAAGCTAACTGTTGTTTGCTTCTTGCATGACCAATCAAACAGACTCTGATTGTACATGTAGCAAACTCCAGACGTACTTTTCCTGTCTGTAGTGTCACTTCCAAAACTTGCATCTGCAAATATCTCAAGACCACCAGACTTCTGATTGTTAAATCTCAGTCTGTAATGCATAGTGCCTTTCAAATACCGCGCTATGCGTTTCAGAGCTTTCCAATCCTTGACACTAGGATTGTTGACTTGTCTGCTTAGCAAATTACAGCTAACAGCAATGTCTGGTCTTGAACATCTGGCAATGAAGTTTAGCTTGCCTAGCACACTCCTGTACAGTGTAGTGTCAGAAAATGCTTCTTCAGTGTCATCTACC